AAGGGAAAAGTTTCCCCTCCCAAGTTTCCAGAACTAACCATTGGCAAAAAATGTGGGTGGGAGAGAAATAAAATACGAGATATCCCAGTAAACATTAGTGATGTAGCAGAAGACTCCATGGCCCCTAAATGGACAGCCATATTCCTAACAAACAGGAACAAACCCAAAAGAGGATGCCTTCACCTCAGCATGGTTCCCCTTTATTACAACAACATAAACCCCCACAACAGCCTACAACTCAAGATGGCTAATCTGACCTCTACCCACCCTCTCTCTCACACACAAACAAAATCACTGCAATCAACTAAATGCAACCAACTCTGGGCTTTCCAACCTCTCGCACCACCAACAAAAACAAACAGATAAATAAAAACCTATCCTCGCAGCGCCGACACAAAAACTCCACACAAAAATGAAAAGTCACTACCTGCCCTTTCTCCCCCCGCTTTCGCCAACCTCACAATCTCTATGACAGCAGTGTCCTCACAGCGAATGAAACTGACCTGTAGAAAGGCCTCCATGAATTGAAAACTGCATGTACCCTTGTTCATTATGAACCTTCTTTAATAAAAACAACTAAAAAGAAACAGGAAACAGCAAAAGCAGGGACAAGCAAACCTGCCAATTTCAGTCTTTTACCTCCCCTGCCCCACTTACCTTCGGTTCTCCGCATTTCCAGCTTGCAATTTTTGAAAACCCATATACATGTTTCCCTTAAGATACAACATGTCTCTTTGTAGCCTAAGAGAGTTTTCTGCTGTTTGTAGTGGAGGTTGGGGTCTAATTGCTGCCTGAGTGACTGCAGCTGTGGGGTTGGGGTTTGGCCAGGGCCTGCCTTACTATAACAGCAGGTTCTGCCGTGGGGTGGTGGTGGTGGTGGTGGGATCAACTGTGGCTGGGTTGGCCCCATGGAGACGCAGGGAGGGCCTGTGTTTTCAGTCGGACTATAGAAGCGTAGGCCAGGCACTGTGTGAGACAGGCCTGTGGCCTTCAACCAGGGTGAGAGCCTGGTTGAGGGGAAGTTTGGTTTGGTTGCATTCCCCCTGAGAGGCAGGTGGAGGTGAATAGCTAGGGTTTTTGACCAGGCCCATGCAGAAGGGGGCAGCAGCCAGGTACCCTTGCCCCTGGCCTCAGGGGGTCCTGGAAGGGGCCTGCTGGACTTCTCCTGTCGTGCCAAGAAGGCCCTGTGCCTCCCAGCCAATCACTTGAGGCACTTTTAATAGTTCAGCACGTCAACACTGCGGAACTGACCCAGGAATAGATTTGGCCTGGCAACAGTCAAAACAGTCAGGTGGATGGAGGAAAGTATCCCAGTACTGACTCTTTCCAAGCTTTAGAGATATTTGATCATCTTTTACTGTATTCAGCAGAGGTGGTGTTCCTCTTTCACCAACACGAAAATCACTGCTGCAAACACATTTCTGCTGGAGAATAAAGGAGAGAAGGGCACGTTTAGCTATTTCCCCTCATTTGCAGGGAAGGATGAAGTAGAGCGTATTACTTACCTTGAGACAATGCAGGACAGGAGGGAAGGCATTCCTCTGCTATCCTCTTTTGCCAGGAACTGGGGGAACTGGAACTGAGTTGATCCTGTTTGAGGTACTGCAAGATGAAACCACCCAGGTTTCTAATGTGTTACATAGAGTTTTGCTGTATGTTTGATATGAAACCATATCTGATCTTTATCTTTTCCTTGAGAGTGCATTCTTCAGCCCACTATAACTCTGCAGCCATTTGTATTAATAAAAATAGGAATTGTACTCATATGAAGCAGCAAGAAGGCTGGGCTGTAGAGTATTAAAGGCCCAGTTCCGTTCTGTAGTTCAAAAGGAAGCAGCTCCCAATGAACAGCAACTGAAAACTGAAGTACTGTATTTCTGTTTGCTGCAGGGGCTGGAGCTTGAAGGAAGCTACCCGACAGGGCAGAGGTAAAAATTCAGTGCCAGGCCCCTTCATCACCACAGCACTGAATGTTGAGGAAGTTCCTGGTTTGTAGCTGGGCCACTGCAATTTGAGCCTGTGTGTTTGTGTGAAGGAGAGAGAGATGCCCCTGACTGGAAGCAGCAATAAAATGAAACTGACCTCTTTCAGTATTTTGTAACAAAAGGAGGGTTGTTTTAAACCATTATTCAAGCTTTGCACCTAGGTTACGGAAGCCCATGAGCATTCCTTGTGCTTGAAGCATTAGCATTTATTTCTGTGCCATTTGTTTAGGCTCTCCAGCGGCTGGCAATTTCCTACCCAAGAAGAGCGTATTAATACAGTGAAAATTAGGCCATCCCGGCCAAGCTGTGCCAATGTTAGAATCTGGAAGCCACCCAGATACTGATTAAAATAGCCAGTTAACAGAAGTCCCACCACTCTGCTCTGCCTGAGGTGTACGGCTCTCTGCCTGCTAGGCCAAGTCGGCCAAATTCTGTGCTCAGTGTAGAGCATGCAAATGCAGCAGGTTTGCCCGATTAATAAAATGTATTCAAGCTGCAAATCATTTGTTTGTGCATGTGTGGGGGGGGGAGGTTGGAGGAAATGCAAAGCTCAGAAAGGGGTAAGTGAAAAGTGATGGGAAGGCATGAAAGCCGATTGCCAGGAAAAAGTGAAATCCCTTGTTAGAGTAGATACCACCCCATAAGGATTTCATTCTTTTATATAATATATATATATAGCCTAGGGTATTTATTCTTACTCTCTACAAATTTTACATTTCTGGGTGAAAGGCAACACCTCTGCAAAATATGCATCTTATTAAAAGCTGAATATACCATGACTCAATCTGGAGAACTTGTATGAGTGCAGGAGCTCCAATGTGCACATAATGTTCCTGGGCACATGAGATTCACCAGTCATTACTATGAAGGAGATATTTGCATGCATAGCCTTGGCCAAACAGATTTGTTCCCTCCATGAGGATCAATGGAGAAACCCCCACAATTAAGCTATCCTTCATAGCCTTCTGGGTCAGGGCAAACAAATAGCATCTGGAATGAAATGGAAACTGGGCATTTTAAACTGTAATGTGTTATTTTTCATTATGCTTCAACACAGAGGGAGCTTCAGAAATACAGAGGTAAGATGCTTGAAGTTGGATCCACTAGGGCTACAAAATTATTATTTCCAATGGTTTTCTTCTGGCAGGTCTCCCCAGTGAGGCCTGCCTGGTATTGTTTCAGCACCAGGTAAAAATTAATCTCTCCCCCCCCCCACTCCAGACTGTTGACAGATGAGGACGATGTCTTTGCTGCAAGTCCTCTTCTAAAGCTTCTTGTGATGGCTATCCTTCATATATGTTTTCGTATGAATGTGTTAAAATAATAATGATAATAATAAATATATAATGTACAACTGGATGCCGTTGCTGAAAAGTACATACCACCTCATGATACAGAGGCTGTAGGCCTTTTACCCACTGCCTTGTGGGACATTTCATTGTCTCTCGAGACAGACAGATGCCAACAACAACAAAGTTCTTATGAAGAGCAAGATTCAGATTATACCCCAGTTGTGAGCACTGCTTCGATCTCACCCTTTTGAGAAGGACATGCAGGAGGGGGCTCCACCTTATACTGTGCTTGACATTGGCAAACTCCCCAAGCCCCAACTGCAATCTGATCCTGGTCTTGCATGCCTTCCAGTTGGCCCAAGAAACAATGTTCTGACAAAATTTAAGAAACCTGACATGTTCTTTCTATTCTTAAACTTATATATCCTCCCACCCAGCAACCAGAACAGTTTTCTTTAACTAGATCCTTATTGCAGGTCTGTGTGATCACCTCCTAATCTCCTCATCCTCTTTAAAAGCCTAATATACTTAGGCGCCTCCCTGCTGGCTTCTTGAATTTTCTTATCTTGGAAACCTAGTATAGCTGCTGTGGATGAGTTCTGACCATGTTTGTATATAACCCCGAACACTCTGGGAGCTTTTTTTGTGTGTGTGTCTGACAGAACCAAAGAGATGTTTGGTCAGAAGGCCCCCCATTTTGGTGAAAGAACAAGGGATGCAGCATGTGACTATCATTCTCACATCAAGGGCAGAAGCAAGAAACCATTTCTACAGCCAGAGGCTTCAAATGAAAGGAAAGTGCTACTGTTGTCTTGTCCTGCTTTCTTGTCCTGTTTTGGGGCTTCCCAATGGCACCTAGTTGCCTACCCTGTGAAACAGAATGCTGAACTAGACAGATTTTTTGTGTAGTCCAATAAGGTTCTTACGTGCCTGCGGAATTTGAGAAGGGCCTTTTAAATATCCTGAATGTTAAACCCTCCCCCATTCATACATTTCTTTGCCTAGGTGACGCTGCTCTGTTACAACATTGGAGCGGGCAGCAAGTAAGCATAAAACTGCGCCCAGAGCAATGCGTGATCAGGTGCTGGAGGCTGGAACTCAGCTGTGGGTATTGCAGCGCTTGTCCTGCAAATTTGTAAGCTGCCAGTCCAGTTGGCTTCTGAATGTGGAGTGTGGAATATGGGGTAGCACAGATAGCAAAACTTCTTGGGACAGATCTACATTTACGATGGGATACTGAGATGGCAGTGCCTTGCACTGAGTGCTTGAAGATTTGTCTGACAGCTGTAGAAAGGAGGGATCTTGTTAAATTTCATAGCAGGTTAAATGAAGTGTGTGAGAATTGATATGAAGCAATACTGAGGCCATTCAAAACTCTTAATGTTGTAGGTAGGATCTCTGGGAACCCTAGTATAGACTGAATATTTAGATAAGAAAACCCAAAATGCTCTCCTGAACATTTTCACTGGGCTACCTCGTTGAAACAAAATACTAATATATGGTGTTTCAACAAGGTAAAGGTAAAGGGACCCCTGACCATTAGGTCAAGGTAACCCAGTCTAAATTTCAGTGGAGCATCCTGGGTTCTATATCAAGCCGTCATACAATGATCTCAACATGTCTTGTTTCACTATATCACCTAAAAACTGTGCTCCCACTACAGTGAGTTTAAGAGATACAAAAAAGATACTTGCATACACACTGTAAAGAATGAGAAGTCTTGTTAGCATTAGCAATTTTTTATTTTCCTTTTTTGTTGCATAGGAAATGCAGTACTTGCTTCCAGTAATCGTATTGTAATGTGAGAGGGTGGTAGCACTAATGGTTGAATACAAGAGTTAAACTAATCCACACCAGCTCAAAAACCTGCAGAGATTTAGTTGAAAAAAGAATGGATGCCCACAGTGATTCTCAACCAATTGCAAATTTTCACAGAACATAATAAAACTAAAATGATAACTCTGAGAGTCAATACAAGGATACTAGAGGCACAAGGGACCCGATTCATTAAAAAAGTAGAGACACAGGGGTATTAACACAGGGCTGAGGTTATTTTGCAGCAGATCTCTCACATGTCCATTTTGTTACACCAAAATGAAAAAGAATTTCTCAATATTTGAACAGAAGAAGAGCCTGCTGGATCAAGCCCAATGGCCCATCTAGTCCAGCATCCTGTTCCCACAGTGGCCAACCAGATGCCTATGGAAAACCCACAAGCTGGATTCAAGCACAAGAGCTCTCTCCCCTCCTGTGGTTTCCAGAAACTGGTATTCAGAAGCACTGCTGCCTCCAAATGCCGAATCAGAGTATAGTCATCATGGACCTTTGATAGCCCCCTCCTCCATGAATTCGTCTAATCCTCTTTTAAAGCCACCTAGGTTGGTGGCCATCACTGCCTTCAGTGGGAGCGAGTTGCACTGTGTCCATAAGTACTTTGATTGGCAGAACTGAGCAAGTGAGCCGGTGACTGTCTAATTGTGCAAAGAAGCCAACAGCAGGTCAATTGTGGGTATTCTCATTTGCTGAATGTTCCCACTAACACATTTTGCAAGCCTGCAAAGTGGCTGCAAAATCAGTTTCCTGCCTTCTTACAGTAGCAACTAAAGTGAAGGTACAGGTGGGAGACTGTCCACTCAGACACTTTGCTCTAGTCAATATTTGTGCTCTCCAAGATCAGATTAGTAGAATGCCTTCTCTACATGGAATTGCCAAGGTCTTTTTCAGCTCTTGCATTTATACTACAGATCATGATGATTCCTGGCTTCATCCTTTCTATCTTGGGGTAGTGGTGGGAGTTCACTGATTTGAGGCATTGCTGTAAATGAGGATGCAGGATGCAGGAATGAGTACATGAAATCTAGTGAAATACTGAATTAGAAGTATTTGCTCTAACATTGCTTTGCACTCGGAAAGATTATGAAGTGAAGTACAAAACCTCTGCACAAAGTCTAGCAGATTATGCTATGGCCAAGAGAATTATTTTTTTGTTCAGCAGGACAGTAAAAATCCCTTATCTGTGCAAAGTGCAGAATAAGGATGCTCTCATCAACTTATTATCTTCTAGGGATCCTTCCCCTTGTCAAATGATGTGTATATTGAAGGTGTTCTGCCTCCTGATGGACATGAAATCAGGTGAACTCTTGGTAACAATAACATGCTAAAATTTGTTCTTGTCATGGGGACAGAGGAGGGGGACCTCAAATTTGGGGTAAGAATCATACAACAAAATCCTATGTTAATGCCTAGTGACTATTTATGAATCGGGCCCAAAGTTTATACAGACTTTTGAAGGAAAAAATTGCAACGGTGCATGAAACTAAATAGCCACATGAGGTTGGGTTTTTAAAAAGGTTCTTAAAAGTTTGTTTTAATATGAGGAGGTCTGATGTGAAGAAGGGTCAAGCATGGGTACCTGGTTTAAACACTGTCAACGAAGAAACCACTTTCAATGTCAGTTCCAAGTTGGAGAATTGTTCCTTACATTGAAATGATGTCTTATTTTTCTTCTGAGATAAGCTCTTAAGAGTTCTTATGGATGCTTCTAAGCAAAGGAAAAAATACCACCAGGCATGGATTTCTGATTTCAAACCCTATGCCTGCCCTTATTAATAAAAAAAATTGCCCCCAACAAATAATACTGAATTTTAAGTTAAATGTATATATCCAAAATACTGAAAACACCCAAAATCAAGGAGAGAAAAAAAACAGAATTTGTGTTCTCAGTGAAATATCTTTAAACCTATCTGACAAGAACCAAGTCAGAAAAAAAGACTAACATAACTTTGAGTAATATTCATACAGCTCACTAAGCATTATGGAATAGCATGCATTAATATTGTACGGTTATTTTACATCACCTATATCAGAAGGTTCTGACAGACAGCGAAGGCTACTGGTGTAGAAAAAATCTTACTTCAGAAGAGCAATATAATACAGATTTCACAGGCACTACATTTTTAATATATCAGGTATTATGCTGGTTTTCTTATATTTCTTTCTGTCCTAAAGCTGGCATTTATAATAATGACCAAAAAGGCAAGGATTGAAGTAAACGGAAACTAGATACCAAAGTTGATATATTTCTTTTTTCAGATTTATATTAGTGCATAGTTCTCATGCAGATAAACACTGCTATGCATTTACATTGTTGGAAAGCAGAGTGAATTGAGCCCCAAGTTGTCACATTTTTGTAAATCATTTTGCCAGCCTGTAATAGCACCATGTAATGGATTTGCATTAAACATTAAATTGATTTCAGAATTGGTGACACAGTATTCACTACAGTTAAGTGCTATGGAATAGCTTCAATGTTACCTGCTATATATCAAAGCAATTTTCATCCCACTGCTTTTTTATTGGAAAAAATAAAAGGAAAATGTACTCGATACTAATTAGACTATTGCACAGCCTTGGACTTGATGGTGGCATAGCCGGGTTTTACTGTCAAACAGTAATACATGCATTGACTTCAAGACAAAATTGGCTTTGTAAGCTTGATTTAATGGAAACCTTGCCTGGTAGGCAGAGTTCACTTCATGAGACCTCCCCCAATAGATCTCATGAAAGATGAGTTTCTTTTAGGTGCCATTGAAGCTCTCCTTACATTTTCATGCCGGTCGTGGTTTGCAATGTTTGTTCTATGGAGGCCTTCTACCAAAGTAAAATCATTTTTTTAAAAAAAGAAAGATATTTCCAGAGACACAATGTAAAGTATAATATTAAGTGACATTTTGTTTAAAAAGAAAAAAAAAACCGCAAGGAAAAATACCTGTTTTATGCCACGTATCTTGGTTTTTTTTGTCTTTTGTTTTGTGTGTGTGTGTGTATGTATGTATGTATGTGTACAGTAAATGTTAACACTGTTACTACAAAGCTGCAAAATATATGGAACAAAAAGAAAACTGTGAAAGAAAACTAGGTAGAGGAATTTTACATATTCCTGTGGGCTGACTGAATACTGTGGGGAAAAAAGGTTCTATTCCTTCACTTTTCAACTCTTAAGAGAAGAGGGAGAGATCACCAAACAGCCAAGGTATACTCCCGGTGACTGATGTTGGATATCACTATATAACATGATTAATAAATACTTTATTGCAGGGGTGTGCAGAATGACAACAAGCTAAAGTCCTATTTTGAAAAGTGGTCGAAAGAATAGGAAACTACTAGTGGAGTCAATTCACAGAGAGCAGTGTTATTTTGCAGGGGGCGGACTGAGGAGGAAAATGGGAGTGGGAGCCGGTGTTGTGCATCTGGCGGTTTTAAAAGAAAGGATCAGAAAGAAAAGTTGTTTGCACAAAGAATAAAAAGCAATTTTGAAATGGGGAATGGACATGTGAATCTGATTCTGAAGTGTGACCCAGGATTATTTCTCTATTGTAGACTGCACACCCCATGCAGTTGTCTCTCCTCAGATCTCCATTCTCTGCTCTACTTTGAGGAATAAAACTCTGTTTGTTCTCCACACCTGAACAGATCTGAACTGCTGTGTTTCTGCATGACAATAAGATGAACCAAAATTTAATTTAGTGTCTTTAATACTTTACAACCCCTGTTGGTAAACACCCTTGACCGCCTACCTAATGTTTAAAGCCTTTAAAACAATTTGTTTTATGAGATTCCGATCAGAATTCCCTAACTTTACCATCTTCAAACTTAATACGATAAAACACCTTCAAAAATACAGCATATCTGCAATGTCCATTTACAATGGTTCTTCAGTAGCCTATACTTCTCAAGCATAGGAATATGCTATACTATTGAGATAAGGAGAGAGGGGAAAAAAATAACTGTATTTAAATACATACAAAAAGGAAACAGGAAAGTTTTCAACTTAAATCCAGTTCCCAGAGGGGGAAAAAGCAATTCTATGAATGCTGCCTTTATAACGAACAATCAGAAATTCCACTAAGCTAATTTGACAGAAATTTTCCTCATTTAAACAACATTACAAAAGTCCTGCATTATAAAATAGGGTAGAATAAATCAGTGTAATCAATAAAACTATACAACATACAAATTACATCGCTTCTGAGTGGGCAGATTTGATTCTCTCTCTCTTTGCGGCCATGACTACGGCATGCTCACTAAAAACAACTAACTGCCCAAACTATTGCTTAGTTTGCTTTGTTTTTGTTTTTTTAAAAAAGGGTGCAATTTTGTTGTATATACAACCAATTTACTGGTTATACCTTGGCTTATAGCAAGGTTCTGACAAAATGTTTGTCTAGGCTTTTTTTCCCTTCACTGTGAAGCACTGAAAGCTGCTAATTTTTTTATTTTTTATTTTTTTTTAGTGCACATATGTTTTAATAAAGTAATGCCCTGCTAAGTGCTATAGGGAAGGCAAAGGATGCTGGCTAGTGGATGTGATACCATAACACTAACAATCACACAATACAACGGAGCAAATGACTACTCAACCACTTATTTGACATATATGAAAATCCAAAACATTTTTTTCCTTAAATAGAGAATAACCAGTAAACAATTTTCAGAACTTGGAAGTTTTAAAAACGTGCATATAAAAATGGGCATTATATACTTTTTATTGAATGTGGATTGATTGCAATCTGCTAATAAAAATGGGTGTGGGATTTGAAGAAAAAGGGAGGTTGTTTTTTTTAAGGCTTGCTTGTGAAAGGAACAGTTGTAAAACAAAAATTGCTTGAAGCAGGGTTCAGCTTAGTGCTTCACAGTTTGACTGCTTCTCTAAGAAGAGCCCTTCCTGCGTGTGCATTCAAAAATCACAAAAAAGTACAAAGACAAACACCTAAAATACACTGCGTCAAGTGCAGCACCGACTTTGGTCAAATAAAAAAAAATTTAAAGAAAAATTAAGAATTGCTAAGCTTTTCTTCTACATGATATAAGCAGGTATTGCATATTTTCATATATCTGGGAAAAAACAAAAAAACAAACAAAAGGAAGACTCCAAATAAAATGTAAAATGCAGCAACATCAAAAATACTGATAATCTAGCATCTACAGATCTCAGAATAGCACTGCCACTGACCGTACAGGACAAGAAAACACTACCGCTATCTGTGGAACAACTAACATCCTACTGAATTCTAAGATGCTGAAACTGACAATGGCTGACATAAAAGTCACATTTACAAAAAAGTGTCTCCAAATGCTTGACTAGGGAAAAAACCCCTTTCAATATAGGAACATGTGCAACAATTCCACAAATAATCGCTATCCAGGGCAAGGCACATTGATATGGAATTTTTTTTTGTTTTTGTTTCGTGCAAATCAATAAAACAAAACAAAACAAAAAATTAGTTTCAGGGAAAAGATGAGGAGCAAAGTGTCTTCCCAAGAAATTCAGTTTACTTGATTGTATAGGACAGTAGTAGAAACCCTTCTGAAGGGCCGAACAAACATAGTTTAAAGGCAAGTGCCTGGATTAGGGATTACAATATTGTGTCTTAATGCACTCTACTTTACCCTACATTAACTATATAAAAATTAGTTACTAACACTAGAACATGCAGAGAATTTCTCTGATTAGCGAGACTCGCCAACCAGAACGTATATATATGTATAATATAGGAAACCTTCTTAAAGTTGCATGGGAAGCAAAGGGGTGCTCCGCTGTCTGGTAGGAAAAAAAAAATCACTTGCATTTTTTTCCTGTTGTTTTTTTCCTTTTTCTTTTTTTTGTACATAAGATCAGGACATTTTGGGTCCAAACTTTTTTTCTTCTTCTCAGCAAGTGTCCTTGCTTTGAACTGGTATAAGATGTAGAATCAGCATTTTGCTTCTGTTTTGTTACCTTTGCAGTTCAGAAAAAAACCAACGCCAGTTCAGGGACACAAAGGCGTTTTATTTTCTGGACAGCTTTCTCTTATTAGCTCAAGGGCCACAGTCCAACTCAGAGTGAAGCATACTTAAGGACATTTGTTTCAATGGGCTTAAGCACACCTACCTCCGTGTCTGGTTGTGGCCAAAGTATTTTGAGAAGTGATATACCCTATATTGCCGGAAACACACATGATTTTATCAGAATTGGCATAATCTATTATAGTGACTTTTAGCTTATAAAATTAACAGATATTATGATTTAATTTTAATTATGTGCTTTGATAACAGAAAATGATTAATTAGCATTTAATGTAGATAACATATTGTGGTAAAAGCACCATTAAATTTTGCATTTCTTTTTAAATTTCCTTCAGTTTTAAAGGGATACAAGTTTAACAATAAAAAACATAAAAAGCAAAAATAGCTCCCCCTTTTTTTTTCTTGCAAGGCTGTTTTTTACCCCGATAATTTAGAGTCCTGGGGTGGTAGGACTTGGAAAACAAAAATAGAATTTTCAACAATCTCTATCTTACAAAGATATTTAGCTATCCAATGAAATTGCACTTTTCTCAATTCAAAATTCGATTGTTTTGATTGATTCCTGTCAGTTTCTATCAAAACAGACCAACTTCCCCATTTCCGTGTGGATTTTATATCATGTTGAAAATCGTCAAAAATGTTTCATCTAAGTGCAGCATTTAAACCCTTTTTTTCTTTTTCATGTGAACAGCAGTAGGTTGATATTTTATATTTCTCTGCAACTTGAGTGGAAATCAACCTATTGATAATGCTCTTATGATTCATGTCACGTATCTAACTGCCGACTGTAAAATTAAAAACAAAACAAAACACCTGATATGTTACAGAAAAAAACATGCCCCATGTCTGTCCTGTAAGTTCTATATTGCAGAATTCAGCTACTACAAAAGTTATCATGTATGTGTGTTCCTCATGATCTCTCAAGAAGTCCCACACCTATATGCGAAATTAATCAGTGAAAATACTGTAAAACAGCTAGGCGCCATGTGGAAAGTGTTATAACAGCAAGTCAGTAAGCAGCCAGCAGGCTAGCTCTACTACCCAGTGTCCCTAATGCTTACACTACCAGTTGAAACACTTCAAAAATTATGAAGCCCAAACATTTCCAGCACCATATGAGAAATTACATCGGTCACTAAGGTGTTCTTTTGTTTTAAAAAAATCCCCTCCTCCCGCCCCCCCCAAACAATGTTACGGCCCTTGTCAATCAACCATAACTTTTGCCGTTTCTGAATGCGAGCAGTTGCTTGCTGTCAATATCTGTTCATCTCCCCTTCCATGGATGCGAAGTAACTGCACTGTGTTGCTGCTGCTTCCATGTTACAGAGTCGGGAAGGGGTCGGGTGGTCTGTCTGGTGGGTGGTGGGAAGCTGTGAGTTTTATCCCAGGTACCAGGACTGCAAGAAGGAAACAAAAAAGAAAGGAAAGATTGATTGATTTTTAGTATTTATGCAATGCTTTCAGCAGAATCCCTGGCATGTTCATGGCTATGTGTAAAGAAACCTAGGAATTAACAGTGAATCATTTGGCTATTTCTTGTGCCAAGGTACTAAACCAGTGAAATCACATAACATTGCACCTCTTCTTATTCTTTTTACATAGAGATGACTGAACACTAAATAAGAAAATTGCAAATCATTACACAGATGTGACGGATGTGTGTATATTTGAACATATGGAAGAGACACAAGTTGTCATGAGTGCTGCTCTATCCATGAACTGTCACATAAATAATAAACCTGTAGGGCAGAGATTTTCAACATTTTTGGGTCCATGGCTCCCTTGACCAACTCCATTCTTTCCATGGTACCCCTATGGGGCTCAGGAGCCCAGTTATGTCACCCCTTGTCTGCAGAGCTGGCAGGCTCTCACAGCTTTTCGAACACCCACCCTTGTGGAGTGTTCCCTTAGCCTCCTCTCCTCCCGCCTCTCCTTGGGAGTCCTCTGGGCAGCCGCTGCCGCTTGTCTCTGAGCTGCCCCCAAAGAGAGGTGCCTCTTCACACTGCCCCAAAGTGGCCTGGGAAGCACCTCCTGGTCAGCTCCAGAGGCACCATTTGCCTGGGAAGCTTGTAGCCAGAGCTGCTGCAACAAACAGCTGTGCAAGCCTTTGGGAGGCAGAGACGTGAGAGGGAATCAGAAGAGGACGGAAAGAGGGACAGAGGCCAGTGTTGCCCATGTTGCTACTGCACACTGGTTGAAAACCACTGCTGTAGGGAGCTCAAAAGTAGGTTTAGGCAGTTGAGGAGGGAGGATAAAGCAGCTGTACAAGAAGCGTGTGGCTTTCTGCTACATAAAGATTTCAGGAGCTGCTTGGAACTTTAGAAATTCTGGCAATACAATGAGTATTATGAGCTACACATTCCATGAAACCATTAAGACCATCTTGGATTAAAGTAATCTGAAGGTTGTGGCTAAACTTAGTTTACCTATACATTTCCCACAACTGAACCACACCCCTGGATTCCATTCATATGTGTCCAAACACAGTTGGATTCTCCTGAGACTTGGAAAGGGGTGGGTTTTTTTGTTTTGGTTTTTTTTTTGCTGTATCAATCTTGGACCATGTGAAAATATTGTGCCATATACACGAAGGTCCAATTGCTAAAATGGAAAAAGGCTAAGATCTGTGTTTTAAAATTGCCACATCAAGGCTGCCTCTCTATTGTCAGTTCTGAATTGTGGCTATAACATGTAAAATGGATAACTGACATCACTGTCAGTTGCTATGAGGAACACAGCAGATGAACCCTGAAATAAGAGGCAATTGGATCAGCAAAAGTGCTGATACTTCTCTCTCTGGCCAAGTCTATGTTTGTAAATAAAGGTTAAACCTGGATAAAAGCTGTCTTCCATGAAATTAAACTAAAACGTATCATAGCACTCCATAAAATACAAAGCAATGGGCATAGATGTCTGTCATGACAGACTGAGGTGAACCACAGAAGGAAAGGGGCTGGAAAGGTGAATTGCTTTATTTCCAATTGATTCAGAATACTGTTGCACACCACCCCAATCTCGGAGCGGTGCGAGCGGGTTCCAGGTGCTTACTCAGGGTTTGGTTACCTCAGAATGATGGACAGTAGAGTTGTGGTACCTTTATGACGTATGGTTTATTTACAACATATATACAGTACAGCCTGAACCTACGATGGAGGTGACTCATACCATTAACACCCCAAGAGGGTCTCCCATAGCCACTAGCCACAGCCTTGGATTCCAGCAGAAATCAAGCATGGTTCTGTCTCTCAGGATTTCCATCCTGCATCCTCCTGCTTCTATATACCTCAACACTGGCCATTGTCTTTCTAACTACTAGCCAGCTGAGGGAGAAGGACCCACCCATTTTTTCTCTGGCACAGAGTCACTTCCTTTGTTACCTTCATGACCAATACATAAGCTATTACCAAGAACATGAACAACTAAATTAGATTTTCACCCTGGCTGGATGCAGGCTTTAGAAGGACCTCAGGCATATGGCTAAGCCCCCACCCCCAAACTTACAACAATACATTTTGTGTTCTTCAGGCCTGATGGTTTACCTCAGAAAAGCCACCAAATCAATGAAGGCGTGAGAAGAATCAAAACCCAATAAAAAGTTATTTGATTTTGAACCCTGGTAGTGTAAAATAACTAGATAAGGCCTTGTTACTTTCAGCTGAACAAGCAGACACAACACTAAAGGCCACCGTGAGTTCAGTTATACACAACTGTGACGTCTGTTATCCGTTTAAGCCATCCCTCCACGATCTTTCAGATACTATGATTCAAACATCCATGTGCTCATTTGAAGGTTGCCCAAACTTCTTACATATGGAAGCAGGCTTGTGTTCACTGTTTGTCTCAGAAGTCAGCCCAACTGTGAAGAACATCTCAGTGCCATTGCTGTGTGTACTTAGTGGAAATTGGCACTGGTGCAGAGGAGGAGTGGGGCTGAATCACGCTGGTGTAATGCTTGAAACTAACTTTTGATTCTGTTTTTTAATATTGTTACCACTACCTATTACAATAGTATCCTTTCATTCTTCTATGGAGTTCTGAGTGGCTTACACAGAGGCTTTCCATTTTATCTTTACAACCAGTTCTTTTTTTCCTAAAAAAAATGTTTATGGGTACTCTCATTTTCCTATCCCTATTTCCTATTGAAATACTGCCCCTCAATGAGGCCAAACTTAGATTCACTAAATGTTTAGGGGTGTGTGTACCACTGCGTCCCTCCCAAGAAAAAGCACTGTTTACAACAACCCTGTGAGGTAGGCTAGGCCGTGATTAGGCCAGGATCACTGAAGTCTAACACCGCATACACTATATGTAAAGATTTTCTGGCTGTCCAGCTTTAATAATTTGCACCTTTTTTCCTTTCTTTCTTTGACAGAAACAAAACACATTGCCCTTGCATCACTGGATTTTATGAGTGACATAATAAATAAAAAAATTTCAGCTAGGTGACACAAATCAAAGTGGTGCTTTTACTGTCCCTGTCATTTCTCAGACAATATGAGCTTACACCAAAATACCCAGTATTATTAATATTTAAATTGCATATTAACAAAGAAAAGCAAAAATCCTGCTGGCTTTAAGATTACATGATTTTTAGCTTTGGCAGTATGTCATGGAGGCAAGTTAAATAAATATTGCTTTATTTAAAAATAAGTTGGCAAGAGAAACACAGTCAATTCAGATGACTAGTTTCCTTTTTCATCACACTGGCTAATTCTTTGGGTTTTTTCATCTCTCTCTCTCTCTCTCTCTCTCTCTCTCACACACACACACACACACACACACACACACTTTCACCACCTTTCTTTTCTGCTTTTATGAGTCGGAGCTAGACTGTTAGTAATTAAATGAAATAGTTTTTATATGTAACTTTTGTTCAAAAGGTTTTCCTGAAGGTTAGGGTGCCTAGGCTCATTATTTTATAAGCAGTGCTATTCACCAGATTAATATAGATTGGCTTTGATAAAATTACTCAAGTGAGTAAAGAATGGTACATTATTTACACAACTGAACTGCGTAAACAGTTGTCATTAGGGCCACTAAGATGAGTGTTTACTAATAGTGCACTGATTCAAACAAATAAATTCTATATATATTGACGAACTCCTTGTATTCATTTCAATAAAATTTGCTCTCACATTAAACCACAGAGCCTAGGGCTTGCCGATCAGAAGGTCGGCGGTTCGAATCCCCGCGTTGCTCGGTCCCTGCTCCTGCCAACCTAGCAGTTCGAAAGCACATCAGAGTGCAAGTAGGTAAATAGGCACTGCTCCGGTGGGAAGGTAAATGGTGTTTCCGTGCACTGTTCTGGTTCACCAGAAGCAGCTTAGTCATGCTGGCCACATGACCCGGAAGCTGTACACCGGCTCCCTCGGCCAGTAAACCGAGAAGAGCGCCGCAACCCCAGAGTCGTCTGTGACTGGACCTAACGGTCAGGGGTCCCTTTACCTTTAAGTGTTATTACAGAACAGTAAAGCTTGGATGGTGCGAAACATTACCCTGCACAGCAGACATTCGCACAGCACCCAAGTTTAGAATCATGATTCTGGGAGTAGCTAGCAAGAAGCCACATGTTTTAAATTGAGAGAAAGACCATTTGTCTCTAGTTGTTAGAGAAGCTATCACCAGGACCTGCCTATCAAGTTGATAAAGGCTTCCAATCCAACTTGGTAACACACCTAACATGACTTTTATTTTAAAAGCATTAAAAGTAGCATTCCTGTTACAGATTTACTGATTTATTGAAATGAGTCCCATGTAAAGTATGCAACTGACAGAGGCAAATGAGAAGTGTTAGGCTGAACTAATTTTTAAAGTAGTGATCAAGAACGATATCTAGGTCTTAATTTATAGCGTTTTGTTGTTGCTGCTGTTCTTCTGGTTGATGTTAACTGTCAGTTAGTAACTATCCCAAAATTACAGGGATTTGATTCAGACAGTCTGGATGCCTAGATGGCCTGTTTCACTTTGGGACATGTAGTAAAACGCTTGAAACTATTTGCATTTTTTTTCAGAATGCAGCTTGTGCATGGTATTTCTTTTAATAATACTCAGTGCACATTTTGGACAGCAGGGGGTGCACTTTTCCATGCCACTTCTTTCCTTTGCTACTCACTGCACAGGTTTTTTTTTTGGGGGGGGGGAATCTGCAGTGCTTCTGAACTCCTCTCAAAACGGGGTGGGTGGGTGGGGAAGTTTCTTCACCCATCTTACTATTCAGTGTGTGCCTTGCAGACAAGGTTACCCCAGAGCAGCTCTGTAATCCTTCACTGAAATAGGCTTTATTGATTGCTCTGGTCTATTGTTCCCTTTTCAAGTCCCCCAAGTTCAAGTTCATCCTGGTGTTACATCATGTCTGGTTGCTACGAGCAACCAGACAGACCCAGACGTGACTATCATT